CACTCACCTCATTGATGATTGGTTCTTAGCTATACAATCAACTTTTGTTTACTATTCAAACGATTTAATCGGTTGATGATGTGCATGTGCTTTCATAGTCATCATGTTCCGGTGAGATTATAATTTATAGACGACCTTTGAGCGACACCAAAGTGACTTTGAGAGTGTCTATCTGCTTAATAGGGCTAAATGAAAGTCATAATGCAGTTCTGAAGAATAAAGACAATGATTTACAATTGATGGTAAGGGTTAAGATTTAGATTTATGGTTTTCATCATGAACTGACATCAGCTAAAATGCCAAGATGCTATTTGAACGAATGGATGAGTGAATTTCATGCCAAAATCCAAGACCTGTTATCTTAGATCTGATTGGTTCGTCCATAAATTATAGTCTCGACGACATAATGATCATTCGAGACAAAATGGTCAACCTACAAGAATTCTTCAAAATGTTCAATTATAGACTAGTTTCACATGAGAAGAGAAATGTGATAAGATACCATTAAGCTAAAATAACAATGATAGGTTCATCTATGTGCGTTTATCAATTGAGTTGTTTCTGTGGCGTCGATTATATTGGTCATACTCAAAAGTCCTTACACTTACACGCTGCTGAACATGTACTGGTATGATTAAGGAAAAGCGTTGAGAAATCTTTTATTAATAATCCTATTCTTTACTACTTAATTAATTACGGATACAACATTAAAATTTAGGATGCCTTTTCAGTCATGCATAACAAATTTCTCGTAATCTACCAAAAGGCTCAAGATTAACCGATTTTATGTAGTTGAAGGAATTAGCAACAATTTAAAGAAACCTAACTAATGAATACAAAAAATATGTAACATGACTCACACTAGGGTCGTTTCAGTCTTAGTTCCAATTTTGTCCCTTCCCCCCCACCACCATCATTATGATTACCACTCCCAAGACACTCCCTATTCCTTAAGTATACAGTCATTCCTACTAATAATTATTCTTAATGTTATTATTCTTATCAGGGCTACAGCACAACAATTCATACCTTGTTCATATCTTGTTTTAAATTATGTTTGCATACGTGTTGAACTTATTGATTAGAACTAATTACCTTAAGGTACATAATTTTTCTTACCCTTTTAGGTATGAACTTCTCCTAACACATTGTCAATGACTTTATTACATTTTGTCAATAACTTGTGGTACTTCATACTCAATAGACATGAAATTTGTCATTTTTATATAGTATTATGGATGAATTCAACATAAATATGATTTTGATAGTTGAGATCATGAGTTAATTGAAGCTAGACCACTATGGAAAACCTAGAAGCACTGAATGATCGTTTCGTCCTATTGTGGGACTCCTCAGCAGTGCGCATCCACAATCCCACCTCGCGAGATTTGAACCCAAGACCTATCGGTCACGCGCGTAACATGGCTCATGTAGTGAGATAGTAACTCACTGAAGACAATAGTGAATGTGTCGTCCAATTTTGTGGATTAGTTGAAGTTAGAGACGCCGTCTCAGTGATCTAGAGGTTAAGCGCTCTCATGCGAGACCAATAGGTCCCCGGTTCGAATCTCACAAGGCAGGATCGTGGATTATTATAATATCCACAAAACCGCTTCTAATAAATATGATGGTAATTTCAAGTTCATAACTATACAACATGATGAAGAAAATATCAAAAACGATTGTTCAATCCAAATACCCTTTGTTCTTGAATAATCTGTGGGGATTTCTAAATTGTATTCATAATTTTTAATAGTTGAATTCATATGTCAATTGAAACCAGACAACCATGGAAAATCTGGAAGCACTGAACGATCGTTTCGTTCTAGTATCGGATTCCATAGTACTGCGCATGCACGATCATAATTGTAAGAAAATTTTGAACTTCTTGAATTGTGTTGTTTGTTCTGCTTCTATATTGGATCAACTTAAATGTATGAACTGTAAAAGAACAGATCCATTCAAATATGTGGAGCGATGAAATGTAGTCAGCAGGAAATTATGGTCTTAGGTATTATGTTAATTGATAATCATCACCAAGATATAACTGCAATCTTAGGGTAACTGAGAATAGTTAGCTAGGTATCATGAGACCAAGTAATGACTGACTTAATGTGTTCATTTCATTTCATGCTTATTTTCGGTTCGTTTTTACTCATAACTATTTTTGCTATGATGTTATGATAGAATGAAAAGTCAAAATTAGATTGATTTACTCAGTATGGTTTTTGGTTCAAGATTAATTCCGTTCAATTCAATGAGATGATCACTCAGTATAGTATTCTGTTTCGTTCCCCCCCCCCCTATGACATTTTATTCTGTATAACATATGATGATACTCTTGTATCAAGTATTTTTCATGTGATTTATTCTGATTATTAATCAAAAAAGGGGGTGTACAAACCAATATATGAGTGTATTTCCGACTAGACCGGGGTCGAGATTGTTTGTACTTCTGACTGCTTACAGAATATATTTCACTGTTTTCGAATCTTGAAACACCGACTTTGGTGGCTTGGACATGCTCTACGAATGTCGTCCCAGAGAATTCCACGTCGTGCATTATTTGCCGACTCTGGGACTGGTTGGAGAAAGCAGAGAGGTGGTCAGTGCATGACATGGTGTAGTGGCATGAAAGAAAGCTGCAAAGGACTGGTTTGTGTTGGTCCTTCACGACTCCCTGGTTGAGGTCCGAAAGATGGTGCTACACAGTGGCTAGAGACGTTATCAGATATGGTTCAGAATAGAAGCCAGTGGCGATCCTGCTGTAACCTTCTTTTACTTTCTTCGTAAAAAGTTGTTGTATCTTCTTTAAGTGAAAGATTTCTTCTGATTGTACCTTTCCGTTCCCCCATTATTACACCAATCTCTTCGTCATTGTTTTTTTTACGCTCCTTACCGTTTTTCTTTTTCCTTCTCTTTAAATTCTCATTGTTTTGTGTGGTGCATATAAATTTGGCGCACTCTTGTGCCAATATTTATATGTTCAAATAAGTAAATAAATAAATAATTTCGAACTTGCACTTTTCTTTCTAGTTAGCGGGGTTTTGGTCACAGAGTCTTTGTTCGGTTCGCAAATTAAGTGAACTCGTAATCGCTTCAAACATAGCATATGAATAGGTTCCTTGAAGTACCGTCTAACATGTCTAATGAAAATCAGAACTTAATGAAATCTGTAATGTAAATTACACCTGAATATCCAGCATTCACTCATTAAAGAAGGATGAACTAATGGCCGAATATACTATGTACGATGCATTTATTGAACTTGAGCAAAACATTACAAGTAACTTCGACTACTTCAAGTAATCAACCTTTAATCACTAACTATAGATTTTACCATCCACTTACTAAAGTTCATAATAGTTAGTAAGTGACAAAACAAATTTAATTCATTTCGTAGAACACGCTAAACTGATTGTTACTTCCCTGATATACTGCGCTCAAAACTTCAACATAGTAATAAAGAAAATGAGGCTACAAAATAATCACTGAAATTCCATAAACTAAAATCAACTTAATCAAACTATTATTCATTCAACACATAAATATTGGTACAAGGAGGCACCAGATAGATATGCGACAGACAAGTCACTTGATATGTGTGTGGGCTATGATACTCAGTCGTTGCCCAAACCGAAGAAAGTAGTTTTCATAGGAGGCCACAACCGGGAGCCTAGAGCAACGTCAGCAGATGCACTTCCATGGTAATCGGTGACCAACAATTGGTTCATACGCTATTTATTCCTTCAGGACAGTGGAGCCCACACACACGATTGGTTTGGAATGAGGGTTTTACCAACTCACCTAGGTGGATCTACCGTGTCCATCAACCCTGGTAAAACGTCGGGCATCCTCTTTTCATCCTCTCAATCTCGTAAACAGCGATGCCACAAAAAAGACAGTGGCTGTATACACATGGCCATGTGAAAACATTTCGATAAGGATAACTCTCCCCAAACTTAACCGTACCTCCTCTCCCTCTAAATGTAAGTTGTTGCTTCAGGACTGGTCTGCGTCAACACCTGAACTAAGGATAGGGAGTGAAGTAGTCGAACGCGTCGACAACTTCACTTATCTTGGAAGTCTGATCAGCCCTAATGGGTTGGTGTCTGACGAAATCTCAGCACGGATTCGAAAAGCTCGTTTGGCTTTTGCCAACTTACATCACCTATGGCGAAGGCGAGATATCCGTCTATCAATACAAGGACGAGTATACTGCGCGGCAGTCCGTTCTGTTCTCTTTTACGGCAGCGAAACATGGCCTTTAAGAGTAGAAGACACTCGTAAGCTACTAGTATTTGACCACAGATGCCTCAGAAATATTGCTGGCATCTGCTGGGATCATCGGGTAAGTAATAGTGAGGTTAGACGCAGGGTATTAGGGAATGATGGTAAATCAGTTGATGAGGTTGTGAATCTTCATCGACTGAGATGGTTGGGCCACGTGTTACGTATGCCTGAACACTGATTACCACGACGTGCAATGCTAACCGGTGTTGGAGCTGGTTGAAAGAAAGTTGGAGGTGGCCAAATCAAAACGGTATCAGTGCTTGAAGTCACTAACTTCTAGTCTGAGTCATGTTGGTAGATGCAGACTACTTGGTTGGGGTCCGCGTGACTATCGTAACCAATGGTTGGAGACTCTGGGTGACATAACTCAGAATCGATCACAATGGCGTCGGTGTATACACTCTCTATCTTCCCTTAAACTAAGAGATTAAAATTGCTTCATATCTTTCTATGAACTAATTTTTCCTTCCTGCAATCTTTCTTTTATATATTACCACCTCTGAATTAACTACTTTTATTAATCCGGTGTCCGTCTTATTGTATTAATGAGGTATGGTAACTTGGACCGATGCATATATATGCCTGGTCGTACGTTGTAGCTGGCTGACTAACCGTAACCAGGGTATCTGGGGTGGGGCACTTAATCAGACTAAATTACGACGAACAATGAATAAACGAATGAATGAACAACAAGAACAACAACAACAAAACAATACCGAAATTCTTTTTCATTTTTTTTGTTGTTTTAACTAACATATACACAGAAAAAAAGTAATAAAAATTATTTGAATTAAAAACAAAAAAAGAAGTTCGTAAAAAAAAGGAAGTAGACAAGATTAATATGACAAAAACTATTTGAATGCAATTGGTTCTGTGGTAGTTCCTTTAAAGAGAACAAAAAGTCCTAAAACAACAAGCCTTTAAATCGATAACAAATCATAGTAATAATCATGCAAGGATTGTTCAAAATTTATATTGTAGAATAATGGATGGACGCGCACACACACGTACGCACGTACACTCAAGGGAGGTATTATTATTATTATTATTATACATAGACAATAGAAATTTGGATTAATTAAAAATAGTATCAATACTATATATATATGAATTTGTATGCACATTATTATTATTATTGTTATACAAAAGTTAAGAGGGGGGAAGGGGGAGGAGGGGGGCTAATGTATCCTCATTTTATCGATTATTCAATGCTTCTAATTCATTAGGATTTATAGAATTTTCAGTTACCATAGTAGATAGATTTGATTTTAAATTTTTACGTTTTATATTTCTATGATAAAATTTCCCTGATAATAATGATGATGATTGATGATTATCAATTGGTGATTTATGCATTAATAATAATAAACTAAATATAATAATTAATGTACCAATTAATATAACCCAACTTAAAAGAAACCAAAAACCATTGAATATACTTACAATTCCATGACATACAGCATTATTCATATCATTTATAGCTGTATATAAACGATAACATTGTCCAACTTTTGACATAATTTTTGGTCCATATTCAATAATTAATTTCTCTGCTTCTATTGGTGTTTTTAATTGTATATTTTGATGAAATAATTCAATAGCTTGATCAATTAATATTGTTTTATTATTCATTATATTTTTTAAATTAATTAATGTTTCTTGTAACTTAGCAACATGTGGTGCAATTTTTTTTAATCTTGATAAAATCAATAAATTCTGATCTATATCATAAATGATCTGATCTAATTGAAGAATAGTTTGTCGAACTTTTTCTGTAGTAATATTTAAACGATTTAATTGTTCTATAGATAAACGTTGACTTAATATAGTAGTATAATAATTATCCCATAAATTCCACATATTATGTATTGGCCATAATGTATAATTATTTGATTCATCTATTGATGATTGTATACTTAAATAAGTTTTAGGCAATTTAGTACGTACTTCATTATAATCTACAATAAAATCATCTAAACGTGATGCCATAGCTAAATTTTCATCAGTTTCTTTAGGGAACATTTCATTGACATTAATTGATTTTAATGAATCAATCATTATATTTTTACCAAGATTAATAAATCGATTAGACATTTGTGGATCATTTAATGATTTCATATTATAATCTCTAATACTATCAAATGCTTCTAATATACCTTGATTTTTATAACAATTATGTAATAGACCATAAATTGGACTACGTATATGTGGAATAGGCATATGGGTAAATTGTTTAGCTATGGATAGAATAATTGGCCAATTACGATTAATAAATGTATTAATATGAGCATCAATAGGAAACATGGTATATTGAATATAATTCTGATTCATTGGATCATATTCTGTTATATTGATTATATTTTGTTCAGGATTTATATAACGACAACCTTCTGTATAGAAATAACCACCAATTAAATAAAATAAACAAGCTAATATAATACTTATGATTAGAATACAAAATCCAATACTAGCACCTAAACGTATACGATTACGTGTATGTAAACTAATCTCTGTGGGTATAAAATGATAACGTATAATTAACCATATTAAACCAATCGTGATCAATAAAATACAGAACCAAAAGAATAAATTGAATGTTAATAAAAGACTAGAAATGGATGAAACTTTTGGTGAAATAGTTCTAGTAATTAAGATCGATATTTTATCAATCTCTTCTATAGCTTTATGTAATTGTGGTATTAATTGATCCCATTGTTTATTTGTCATATTACGTATAGATTGTGGAATATTAATTTGTTTAGCCATAATAGTTTTAGTTTTTTCAAGTTGATTATTAGATAATTGTTTACCATGATTTAATTGAGCTTGTATACTTTCAGCAGTTTGATTACGATCTGTAGTAACAAATTTTAATGCAATTGCAAAATGTATATCAGGCATAAATGAATCAGGTCTTATAGAGATATTATTATAAAATGTTGAACGTAATTCATGACATTGACCAATACAATCATAATTTGTATTATCTATATTAATTAAACGTAACCATGTTTGAAATTCCACTTTAAATCGATCAAATGTATGTTTAAATGCAGTATTTGATTGTACAATAGCATTACATTTTGTGATTAATGTAACAACATGTTCACCAAGAATATCCCCAAGTTGAAATGCTTCAGTAACACCAATTTGATTGAATAATATTGAATTAAATTCATTTGTCATACGATCTTGCATTGATTCAGTTGCTTGAATAAGATTTTTTACAACAGGTTCAATATCAATTTTAGTCTGTGGAACAAATTCACTTAGATATGCTCTTATTTGTGCTAATGCACGTAATACACGTGGAAATACATGAGTTTTTTCCGGATTAGTTTGCATTAATTCAGTAATAGTTAATAGACGTCCTAATGATTCTTCATGTGTTGGTGCTGATACTAAATTGGTATGTAATTGACCACATGCAGCAAAACCAAGTAATACTGCTGTACCTAATAAAATGGTTAAAATAGTTAATAATGAAAATTGTATAGCAAGACATATCCAATTAGATTGTAAACGTTCACGTGTACGATAAAATGTTGATTTTGGTGAATGTTTTTTATGTAATGCAATTTCTATAGTTTCTCTAGATGTATTCAATGTATGATTTTCTGTAGGAGCAAGATATAATAATGTTTCGGAACGTTTTTTTATACGTTTACGTTGACGACATGTTAAATATGTAGCAATAATTAAAAAGATTATCCATAATAATGCACATACAATAGCTAATGCATAACCAGTACGTGAATATGTTGATAAAATATGATCAATAATTGTAACTTCTGTATGTGATGAACTTTCATTATTATAATTATTAGATGAAGGTAATTTTATTAAATTATTCAGTGTAAATGTTATAATTCCACCATCTAAACTTGGTTGAGCTCGACTTATAATTGCTTTTGCTGAAGAATATATAGAATCCATAATTAAATCCAAATACAGTCAAACCTGATATGATAACAGTCACACATGTTATGACCTTAATCAATGGATGACAATGATTAAATGTGTTTGTTTCTTTTCATTTTGATTGGTTATCTTATTAGTTAAATTCTATTGGTTCAACATTTTAATTGGTTGAAATGTACTGAGATTAAATTTATATTAACCAATCAACGATCAATTATAGGCATAGTCAGTTTCGGATCGATAAAATATGTCACCTGACCAAACTTACAATGTTATTGGTTAAAAATGTTTATACTAGACAATTGAAGTTAGTTTTTTGGTCCAAAATTTAGGTATCATGTAAACATATTTGGAAAACTCATTCACAAACATAAAGACAAATATAATCAAAATAAAGATTTTATAGTTGACTTGATAAGTCGATTGAAGGTAGACTATCATGGGAAACTTGGAAGTACGGGATGATTGTTTCATTCTAGTATGGGACTCCTCAACAGTACACACCCACGATCCCGTCTTGAGAATTTCGAACCTAGGACATATCAGTTTCACGCGCGAACGTTCAACTTTTAGACCACTGACCAACGGTGTTAATGTCTAACTTCAACTAATCTACGAAATTGAGCCACTGTCCTCCATTGTCTTCAATGAGTTACTATCTCACAACAGACTCGGTTGAGCTCCCACTGGTCACTACTTCTCACTAAAACTCTAGGAAATACCTCTTGAAGCCAGTCACTAGTGAGTATATGATAATTATTATCAAAAAGTTTTTTGTGGAGATTTTATTAGTTTAATATTTGGATTTATGAGTCGATTAAAGCGAGACCATCATGAATCCTGCAAGCGGGATCGTGGATACAAACTGCTGAAGAGTCTCATACTAGAATGAAATCGCCATCCAGTATTTCTAGGTTTTCCATGGTAGTCTAGCTTCAATTGGCTCGTAAATTCAACCATGAAATTACTAAAATTCCGACAAGACCCCCTTCTGAGAATAAAAATTCAGTGTTTTCATTTGATCATTTAATTCATGTTGAAAATTGTTACCTATCAGCACTAATATTTTGAATAATTCATTTCTAAGTCATGATTTACGTTAACTTCTGAACAAACCTAGGAAACGAGTGAGGTTAGTCTGAGTCCCTATTTATCGGAAAAGAAACTTACTCATATTACTTTCTACGTTCCAAGATGATGGATAACGAACTGAACCTTCTTTAAAAAATACTTATGGAAAACGGGTATCGTTCGATATTTATTGACAAGAATATAAAAGTTAAACCTCTTTAAATATAAATAACATCACCTTCGATTTTGAAGATGAAATAGTTACAGACGTCCTAAAGAGGAGAATTTCCTATTCTCTCAGAAAAAACGTTCTTCGCATTAACTTTGCAAATAGCATTATCTAACCGGTCAATATTCATCAACAATCTTAAGGAGAAATGATCTCATTTGACCGACTCTATATGCATTTATCAATTTGCCTGTTCACGTGAGACTATGTATATAAGTCGTTCGATGCGTACATTATTCAAAAGAATTCAAGAACATTACTCGGCTTGGCTAAGAAGAGGCGGAAACGGTTCAATAACTGAACACCTTGTGAACACAGATCACTCAATCAAGATGGATTCTTTGTTTAAAATAATCTACAACGTAAGTAGAAGGCTGTCAATGACAGTTAGGTTGCATCATCTTAATACTGTCGAAGGAACAGTAACACATTTGGGAAATTGGTACAACTACTATGGCCTTAGTGTCTCATCATTTAATTTCATCCTACTTTCCTTTCTTAACAGATGTCTACTCCTTCTTTTTCTATTTTCTCTATAGATCATTTACCCCCAACTGGTTTATTTCTGTTTTTATGATCCTCCTGATTATATTTCATACCAAATTCAACCTTTTATTGTATCATGCTGAGCTATCCTTTCCCAATTATAATTTTCCCATCTATCTTTATGATTGATATTCAAGCCCTTTACAATAAAACCATTATTAGTTTCCCTGATGAAGAAAATAACGTTTTAATACCTTTTTTTTGTTCTACCTCACCTATTACCATGTTTGACAGAATTTTATTATTACTATTATTGTGATTGTTATCTTCAAAAAGAGAAAAAAAGAGTATATATTCACTTGGTGTATTTTGCTTTGTATCTTCTCATTGTTGTTTAGGTCTGTAATTGATCAGTCTCCTTTTGGTATATGTGCATACTGTGCGGATTGCCTCAAGTCACAAGCATTATAAACAAATAGAGAGTGGCTAGTAGTGGAATCCAGGACACGTGTTTCGTCCTATTCGGGAATCGTCAGCTGGATGTGCCTGCATCCCACAGTTGATGTTCACTGCAGGACTCGAACCCAATACCGTTCGCTTCAAACACCATCGCGTTATCCACTCAGCTACTGAGTCCTTATAACTATTACCTTATGCAACGTGGTCAAGTTTAAATCCATGTTGTATTGTTTATTTGAATGTTCCAATGTTGATGTTTAGGAATGCAATTGTTCAGTCTCTTATTGACATATGTACATCATATGCGGATTACCCCGATATCTCTTTAATTTACAAGCATTCTAAGCAAATATGGATAATGGTTAGGAATGGAATCTAGGATGCTCGTTTCGTTCTATTTTGGACTCTTCAGCTAGATGTACTTGCATCTCAGAGTTGATGTTCATTCCAGTCACAACTCGAACACAGTACCGTTCATTTCAAACGCCATAGTGTTATCTACTTAACTACTAAGTCCTGAGTTTTGTCTAACAATTTGATACAAAATGAAAATAATTTCTTAGTTACTATGCTAAATGTATGTCAATACAAATAATCTACTGTGTCTAACACTGTGTACATATACATGTACACATAGATTGCATGTATAATTCAGAAGATGTTTACAAAGAAACATAATAAAAGGTAACATATTTTTTTGTAAATCAGTATTTTATATAACTAATCACCATCATCATCATCATCATCATCATGTATTAATAATAGAATTTCAAGTTAAGAATGAATCAGTCCAATGGAACTATTTGAGTACAAAGTCAATTAAGTAGTAGATAATTTACTGTTTTTTTCTTTCTTCTTCTTCTTCTATCTAAATAGTAATGATGATAACATTTGGTTATGATAATATAATTTCAATATTTGATGATTATATTGTTTACATGATGGTGTTGTGTACACATATACATACACATGTACAACTTAGCCATTTGGACTATGACTTTGGTAGTTGTAGTTGTAGTAGTAGTAATGGTAGTGACAGTACGAATAGATTCATCTAAATATTTAATGTTTCATATTAAATCTCATAGATGTTTTTGTATATTATGGAGTGTAAATGAACAAAGTTCATCAAAACAATCTCTCTCACCCTCTCTCTCGGTCTTTATTGATACTATTTAACCTTTGTACTAAAAGTTATGTTTACACTAATGATGAATAGAAATGAACAACTAATGTTTTTTTTTAATCGCATGAAGATAATACTTACTATGTGCTCATTAGTGACTAGATTCGTGAGGGAATTCTGAGAGTTCTGTTCTAGTGAGAAGCTGTGAACAGTGGAGCTAATCCATGTCATGTAGAGATAGGTATATATCTTAGTACAATGGATGATGGTTGCGCGATATTGTGGATTGGTTGAGGTTAGATATTCGTACCAGTGGATGCTGGCCAGCTCAGTGGTCTGTAGGTTAAGCGTACACGCGCGACATTTAAGTTTGTGTTCGAATCCCGCTAGCGGGATCGTGGATATGCACTGTTGAGGAGTCCAGATTTCCAATGGTGGTCTAACATCAATCGATTCATGATCTCAATCAAAAACTTAATAATCTCCAAAACCCCATACTGATAATAATTACTGTTATCATCACTATTATTAAATGTAAATTATGTATAGTTATACAGAAAACATAGCAAGTATATATCAGTATATGTTACATCCATGTCTGCCGTACACTCGAATAGTTAAACTATTGAGATGTTGATTTTATGAATGTAAAATGGAGGTGTCCAAGAGAAACATTGACTCTTAATAGGGAATAGTTAGCTGAAAAAATATATTCCGACTCACATTCTGATCAATCACTTGTCACTTGAAACGTTAAGACAATAGTCATGAAGTTGCTGTATGGTGTGACTGAATTAATTTTCTTGATTGAAATATCTAAGTGAGATTAAGTCGGAAACTTTGGATCTTTTTTCCGAACTATTTATAACTTGTCAGTAAGGTATATGTACCCATTTCGAAGAAACTGATCTATAAAAATCTAAACCACTTTACAAAATTTTGCAGTCTGACATGCTACCAATGAGTTATTTGGGTCAAAATTGACCCCATAAAGGACTGAGATGTATTTACAATTGATTGAACACTGGGTAGTGGTGTTAACGTAGGACCTAATATATATGACAATGGTCAATACTTAGTGATCAATAAATCGAAAGTACATCTCACTCCTACAGAAGATTAGTTGCCGGTTGGGTGGCTCAGTAGTAACGTCTCTAACTGTGAAGCTCGGTGACATGGGATCGAAGCCTTGAGGCAGCATTGATTCTCCCAAGGTTACAGATTAGCCCTCAAATACCCTGGTACGGCCGAGAGTGGGGAGAGTCAGTCCTACCTCTAGAAATGCTCTCTTATGGCCACGTGCATACAACCACTGACAGGGAAGTCCTACTCATTGCCTTCTCGTGGCATTAATGTTGTTTACGAAATTTAGAGGACGAAAAGCGAATCTACGGCGCTTTAACTGGGTTTGTGGATACAGAGGATCCACATAGGAGAGTTGAAAAACCCTCATTCCAAACCAATGATGCACATGGGTTCCGGTACCCTGAAGGAACAAATGGCGGATGAACCTATTATCGGCCATCGGTTACCATGGGACTGCATCTCCTTACGATGCTCCACTGCTTTGTGGATCAGACCTTCGGGTCGAAGGCTCCGGGTGTGGCCCCCTAAGGAAACCACCTGCTTCGGTTTGGGCACCCGGGTAGTATCACAGCCCTCACACATATCAAATGAGATCTGTGTGGCGCATATGTATTTGTTGCCTCC